GGGGATGCGTCCACCCGAAGCTCAAGGGAGGCGAAGCCAAGTGCCCGCTCGCCGGAGGCGTTGGCGCTAATGCGAAGAAAATCACCGAGGGCGTGGACTTCCTGCCCTTGGTGGACGGCCAGGCCAAGATCAAGGTGGAGAACGACATCTTTGCTCGCTTCGTTGCCGACAGGGACGCGAGGCTGGGCTCGAGGGCCAGCGTGCGCAGCGCGCTCACCGCCAAGTTGGACTGCGCGATGTTCATCATCGAAGCCGCTGGGCGCGGCGAGGCCGATGCGGCCTGGACGCACCGCCACTACGGACCTCTGTTCCAGGAGACGCTGGGAACCGTTGGCCGCGGCAACCTCGTTGGACAGGTCCGCATTGCCGATGAGGAGGAACTGAAATCGCTGCGGAGCTCGTTCGACAAGCTGTTCGGAGCACGGATGGGTGCAGCCAGGAAGCCGATCGGGAAGAGGCTGCGCTTCTCCCCGCATGAATGATCGGCCGGAGTGAAGAACGCCGTCAGCGTCTTCCTCTTTGGCAACCAGTCAGCTTCGCTCGGAGTCGCGGACGAGGATCTCGACTTTCTGGACTATCGGCGCACAGTCCTGGCCAACAATCAGCAGCTGCGCCCGCAGGAGGTGCAAGTGCCGAGCCGCGCGGAGCCAAAGGTGCAGGAGCCTGAGCCGACCGTGGAACCGGCCTCGAAGAGGGCAAAGCGGGCGAGAGGTCCGCTGGACAACTTTATCAGGAGGTGATTAACGTGACGTATGCGATATGAACGAGAATGTTCGGATTGTGCATGGTTGTATAGATCAATTTGCGGAGCTCAAGGGGCACCCGCGATGGCTTCCGACTTGTCCGCAAGCGACTCTACGCCGTTGATGTAGGTGGAGGAGTCCGCGCCCTGGCCGATGGGGCAGTACAATCCGGCGGGGAAGATGTTCGGCTCCCGCGCGGCCGTCTCCGCCGCGGTCGTCCCGGCGTCGTACACCGAGTAGCCGCCGAGCACCCGCGTGGTCTGGGCTTGGGTGGTGACGTTTCCGGGGGTCGTTGAGGCCGGCGCGAGGCGGTTCTGGATGGCGAGGGAGTTGGCGGCGAGCGCGGCCTGCGTCGCGGGGTTGACGGATTGGAGCTTGGCCGTCTCGGTGTTGGCGTTGACGATGTCCATGCCGGCCCTGGGACAAGGTCAGCGCGCGTGCTCGAACCGGGACCCCGGATGAAACACACCAGAAAGTTGTGACGGCGACGGCATTGGCCTCCCTTCCACCAAGCAGCGCATGCCTTCGAAGACGGGATCGTCCGCCATTCGCTTCACTATATGGGAAAGCAATCCTAAGAACTCGTTTCTGACGGCCTCGGAGCCACGCTCCATGGACGCCTTGATGGCCGGAAGGAGCACGAACACGACCAAATCGCGGAAGGCGGTGTCGCCCCCCTCTTGGACCGTCTCCGACGCACGATCGACCAGCTTGACCAGACAAAACGCGGCGTTCGTCCGCATGGAAAACTCCTTCTCGTGCCTCACGCTGGAAACAAGATTGCGGAGCACGGGAATCCATTCCTCGGGAGACAGTTCCCCGTATCTTCGCTCGCTGATGTCCGAGAAAGCGGCAAATCGACGGTCAAAGTCGGGCTCCTCCACCTTCCGCGTCGAGAAGGCATTCAAGTCCGCAACGATCGAGGCAACGGCGGCGAGCCCGGAATCGACGGCGACGAAGGATACAAAGCACTTGTCCAGCGCTGCTCGCCCCGCCTGCGAGTCCATCGACGAAAAACAGCGGGAAACGATCCGGGTAGCGTTTCGAAGTGAGAAAATCCTGCTCCGTGAGCGCGGCGGGCCCGCGCGAAACGCGCCGTCCATAGAGTCCCAAAGATTTCGGTCTCGCACAGCCTCGAAAGCCGAGGCAAGCGCCTCGAGATAAGGTCCCAAGCCTCGCCAATCGTGCCTTGGTCAATCCGCATATCTCAAGCCAATCTCGCACAGGTCCAGCATATCGGATCGCATTCGGCGAGCACCCAGTATGCTTCTCAGAAAATCCAATGCACCGGCCAGAACGAGATCGCGAGCTGCCTCGGACTTGAGAGACCCATCGCGAGCAACAAAGGCATCGAACAGTTTCCGCAAGCATCCAACAGCACGCGGCAACGAAAGGCGAACGTTCGCCATGCCTCGCAACAGCGAGTACAGCGAGTCCCAGTGTCCAAGCTCGGCGATAGCTTCGCCGCAGGACTGCAGGACTGTGCCCTCAGCTTAAGCGCATTCAGCAAAGCTGCTCTGCAGTCGAAGGGATCTCAACGGGATCCATCGTCCCCAAAGCCCTTGTTCGAGTCTTGCACCGAGACCAGGAAGAGGGAAAAGCCGAGGCCAGGAAGAGGCAAAAGCCATCCTCACGAGGTCGAGGGGTTGCTAGGGGTTGCGCCAGTAGCGCATGAGGCAGCGCCAGCCCAGCAGCCGCATTAGTTCCCACCACTGCCTCTCGACAATGTGCCTCACTGGGCTGTATGTCTGCGACTTCAGCCTGTTGAGCTCGGCGAGGTTCGCGCACGCGAGGGGCGACTTGTCGTAGTAGGTCGCGGCGGCCTGGGTGTTGGCGCTGATGACGTCGAGGTAGTGTCGATGGGATTCTGCAGCTTCGGCGTCGGGTAGCCCATCGTGCTGAAGTAGGGCTCGGCGGCGGCGACGGGGCCGAAGTAGCACGTGCGGCCCTCGGAGAGCAGCATGGTGTTGTCGAAGAGGTTGAAGACGGCCTCGGAAGGCTGGTGGATGACTGGACGTGCGATCCGTTAGGCGTGAGCTCGGGAAAAGGTGCACGACGGAGCAATTCGAACGCACCAATGACGACGCACACGTTCTCCGACTTGACGTACTTGAGCACGAGCTCCATGGTGCAGCGGGCGCCAAAGTCGTCCAGACCCCTGTGCAGAGGCGGCGAGGGTCGGCGGCGCGATGGGGCGGAGCGAGGCCTTGCGACTTACGAGGTGGGCTCGTCGAGGAAGAACATGTGCGGGCGGGCAATCATCTACGCGGCGACTTCGGTGCGCTTCTTCTCGCCCGACCAGAAGCCGCGAATGAGCTCGTCGCCGACGGGCGTGTTCTGGGCGTTGGTGAGCTCGAGCCCGGCGATGACCTCGTCGACGCGGGCGACGCGCTCCTCGTGGGTCGAGTTGCGGGGCATGCGGCACTCGGCGGCGAACATCAGCGTCTCGCGCACGGTCATAGTGGGGATGTGCGCCATCATGGTGGTGCCGCCTCTTGAAGAAGACGTCGGGCTTGGTACCGTTGACGAGGACTTCGCCGGTGATCTCGCCGAGCGACTTCTGCGACAGGATGTGTGCCGGGGCACCTACGGTCAGCAGCGTGAAATGGCAGGGACGACAACAGACGCACCGAGGAGCGTGGTCTTCCCCGCGCCCGAAGGCCCGATAATGGCCAGCGATTCTCCGGGCCGGGCAAAGCCGGTGTTGTCGATGAGGGAGTGCACGACCTTGGCGCAGTTGACATTCTCCCACGTCACGGTGTCTGTGTCCCGAGCGTGCTGGTGAGCGAGGAGTCCGGTGGGCGCAACGGAAATCCGTACAGCCGGCGTGGTCGCTCGCGGCCGCGGCGCTGGGGTTCGCCTCCATGTCTGAATGTGCGGCGCAAGTTCCGGGAGAGAACCACAGCGACGGCTATACCGCTACGAGGGGAAAACCCGGCGAGGATTTCTACAGCTTACTTGTCCCTAAGGACACATCGAGGCGCTGATGCTACCATACTTCCAAGAGTCACACGGGCGGGAGCAAAATATAGCTGCGCTGCATCAATCTGAGGAAGGTGGGATTCGCCGCCGCCCCGCACCCGGGCGGGAGCAAAACGTAGCTGGACTGGATCAATATGAGGAAGGTGGGATTCGGGCCCACCGCCCCGCGCGATCGGGCACCATCACGGGGGGGAGCAAAATGTAGCTGCGCTGCATCAATCTGAGGAAGGTGGGATTCGGGCCCACCGCCCCGCGCGATCGGGCACCATCACGGGGGGGAGCAAAATGTAGCTGCGCTGCATCAATCTGAGGAAGGTGGGATTCGCCGCCGCCCCGCACCCGGGCGGGAGCAAAACGTAGCTGGACTGGATCAATATGAGGAAGGTGGGATTCGGGCCCACCGCCCCGCGCGATCGGGCACCATCACGGGGGGGAGCAAAATGTAGCTGCGCTGCATCAATCTGAGGAAGGTGGGATTCGCCGCCGCCCCGCACCCGGGCGGGAGCAAAACGTAGCTGGACTGGATCAATATGAGGAAGGTGGGATTCGGGCCCACCGCCCCGCGCGATCGGGCACCATCACGGCCGGGAGCAAAATGTAGCCGCGCTGCATCAATCTGAGGAAGGTGGGATTCGGGCCCACCGCCCCGCGCGATCGGGCACCATCACGGGGGGGAGCAAAATGTAGCTGCGCTGCATCAATCTGAGGAAGGTGGGATTCGCCGCCGCCCCGCACCCGGGCGGGAGCAAAACGTAGCTGGACTGGATCAATCTGAGGAAGGTGGGATTCGGGCTCACCGCCCCGCACGATCGGCGAGGTGCTGGCCGGGGCACCCACCACGGGCCGGGAGCACGTAGCTGCTCCATCACGGCCGGGAGCAAAATGTAGCGTCGCTGCATCGATCTGAGGAAGGTGGGATTCGGGCCCACCGCCCCGCTGCGATCATTCGGGCCCACCGCCCCGCTGCGATCGGCGAGTTGGAGCAAAATGTAGCTGCGCTGCATCAATCTGAGGAAGGTGGGATTCGGGCTCACCGCCCCGCACGATCGGCGAGGTGCTGGCCGGGGCACCCACCACGGGCCGGGAGCACGTAGCTGCTCCATCACGGCCGGGAGCAAAATGTGGCGTCGCTGCATCGATCTGAGGAAGGTGGGATTCGGGCCCACCGCCCCGCTGCGATCGGCGAGGTGCTGGCCGGGGCACCCACCACGGGCCGGGAGCACGTAGCTGCTCCATCACGGGCGGGAGCAAAATGTAGATGCGCTGCATCGATTTTGAGGAAGGTGGGATTCGAACCCACGCCCCTTGCGGGACCAGCGTTTTCGAGAACCTGAAGCTGGCGGAATAGACCGCTATCCGACTTCCCCTAACATTTGTGAAGATGGCGATCCAGAGCATTCCAGACGAAACACAAATTGTGGTCGGACCCAAGCGCGTTCCTCGACGCCCACCCGCCTCTGTACATCGCATGGCGCGCCCAGCGTCGCCCTTTCCTACGCGGCGCCAGGCGGTTTCGTCCCCGAGCCGCGGCAGCGCTCCTTCGCCGGCCGCTCCGGAGCAGGGGGAAGCGGACGACGCGCTTCCCGCGTTCCTCGACTACCGCGACGTCGTCGGGGGAGCGCCGAAGCGGCGGCGGGACGCTGCCGCCGACAGCGATGCCTCGGATGACGTCCATTCGCGCGAGGCGGGCGGCCTGGCGCGCAGCCACTCGGATTCGCGCATCTTTGCCCGCTGGCGGCGAACAGGCGCCCGACGGGACGAGCGGAGCGTGTCTCTCGCGCAGGGTGTGGCCAGAAATCTCTTTCCCAGCGATGTCTCACCATCCGCCGCGTCTGGCGCGGACGCGGAGGCTTGGGAGACGGTCCGATCGAGCGCTCGCGGACAAAAGGATGCTCCCTGCGCAGCCGCCAAAACGGAGGACATGGACCAGCCGTGTGTCGAGGTGGAGTCGCAAGAATCGTGGCAGCAGCCTGACGGGGGCGCGATGGATGCGTCTGCGGAGCGTATTGACGGTGCCGGACCAGTTAGGAGTGCGCCGACCGTGGTTCCGGGCGGGAGCCGGCTGTATGCCGACCCCGTGAGCGACGCGGAAGACGTTGAGATGGAGGACCATGGCTAGCGATCGGGTGACGCGCGTTCGGGTGACGCGCCGGCCGGCCAGGGACGCGGTCATCGACAGTAATAAAATAAATGGGAAGGTAAACGTGCGAGTTCCCGCCCCCCTCTCCCGCCCGCCATGACGCCGCTGCGGCGCGCTGCGGCCGCGTGGCTCGCGCTGCAGCTCGCGGTCCTCGCGGCGAGCGCGGCGGCCGGCTGGCGGCGGGACGCGCGTCCCCCTGGCGACGCGGTGGTCGTCGGGTCCGACGGCGCGTGCGGCGCGGCGGTGCTGGCTGCGCGGCTGCGGGCGGCGGGGTTCGCGCCGCGGCTCGTCGTTGCGGGCGGCGTGCGCGGCGCGGCGCGGCCTGCGGGTGCTGCGCGGCTGCGCGTCGCCGCGGCGCCGACCGACGCGTCGCCCGCCGTGCGCGCCGCCGCCGCCGTGCTGCGCGCCGCCGCCGCGCGGCCCCCGCCGCTGCTCGCCGCCGCCGACGCCGCGCCCGCGTTCCTCGCACTCGCCGCGCGCCGCGCGGGCGCCCCCGCGCTCGCGCACTCGGCGGTCGCCGTCGCAGGCTGCGCAGACCGCGCCGCCGCCTGGTTCCGCGCCGCCGTCGAGGCGCCCGCGGACGGCCCCGCCGGCCCCGTGCCGCTGATCGGCGCAGCCGCCTACTTCCCCGCAGACCCGCGCGATCTGCACGCCGCCTTCATGCAGCGCCGCACCGCCGAGTGGGCCGACGCGTCCCTGGCGTCGACCCTACCGCTGATCGGGCCCGCCCTCGCCCTCGCGCCCGCGGGGTCGCGCTTCGGCGTGCTCGTGGTCCTGGCCGCCTCGCCGGCGGCGATGCTCGCCGAGCTGCCGTTTGTGCTGCCCGCCCTCGGCCCGCTGCTGACTGGCTCCCATTCGCACCTCACCCTCGACTTGGTGGCGCTCCGCCCGACCGACGAGCTCGGCGCGATCGGGCCGTCTCGGCTGGACGCTCGCTCCCTGTCCACAGCGATCCGGGCGCTGGTACCTCCCGGGTTCCGAAGGTGGAACATCACAACGGATGTGACCGTGGACCAGGCGCTGGAGCGCCTGGCATCCCCGGCTGCCGAAGGAACACGCCTCGCGGTGGTCCTGCCATGGCCTTCCGAGGACCAAGGTCGGTGCATCTTCGCTTCGATTGCGGCACTGGGAGTTCCAGCAGTTGCCGTGCGAGGCGAGCGAGTGTACGCCTCCGCGGAGGACGTGCCCATTGCGGCGTGGCGCGACGGTGCCAGCCTCCTTCGGGCCGTGGAGGCACTGCTGGCGGGCGAGGCGGGCCGGCCCCATCGCGATCCCGTGCCTCAAGGCGATCTGGCAACGATCATGTCGATCTTGCCACGAACAACCGAGCGGCCGCTGATATCCCGCGCAAAGCTGCCCCCCGTTTCCGTGGTTGTGACTGTCCACAATCGCTACGATTTCCTGGAGCAGGCCCTGCTTTCCCTCCACCGGCAAACGTATCGAGGATCGATCGAGACCATCGTGGTCGACGATGGATCGGAAGAGGCAGCCGCTGCCAATATCACCGCGATCGTAGCCAGGATACGCGAGTTGCCTGGAGCTGGTGTCGCGGGAAATCGGATGTGGAAGCTTCTTCGGCTCCCGCGGAATGTGTACCTCGGAGGCGCACGGAATCGGGGAAGGCGTCTGGTCACCGCGCCGTGGATCATGTTCATGGACGACGACAATGTCGGTACGTAATGGAGCTTGCCGTGTGACGTGCGGTCTGAAAGTTTCGTCCAGCCAAACCGCAGGAGGTGCAAGTCTTCGTCAATGCGCTGCTGTCGTCTCCGGACACGGCAATCTTCACCTGCCAGTCCGATTCCTTCTCGGGCGCGGACCCTCCCAAGGAACCCGTCGCCAATCCGGCGCTGATCGAGTACAATTTCTTGCCCTTTGGCGGCTCGGCCGCCGGCGGGGTGTTTGAAAACGTCTACGGCGATGCCAACTTCATCGTGCGTGCGTCTGTTCTGGACGAGCTCGGCGGATTTAGCGAGGACCGCGCAAGCTTCGAGGACTGGGAGCTTTTGGTCCGGGCGCAGACGAGCGGTTTCGAAGTGGCGGTCATTCCGGAGGTGCTCTTTTGGAAGCGGACGCTGGGGGACTCGATGCTCCGAGTCAACGCGCGTGGTGCTGCCGCCGCCTTTGGGTCAGCTTGGAGGACGCTTCGGCCTTACGTCGGGATTCTGCCGGGGAGGATCGGGGGCCGTTTGCTCTCATCCCGGAAGGAAGCTCTGGCCACCACCGAGTTCGCGGACAGCATTCTCCTGGCCGGGGACTCGTGGGAGCAATGGAGCAAAGTGCAAGGCACGGGCGGGTGGCACGTGGGGTACCGAGAAAGGACCGCGGCCGCTTTGGGACCGTTTGTGCCCTTTGGCGCAGCTGAACGGACAGCCAGCGGGTGGGAGCTCTTCGGAGATCCTCCGCTGCCCCGATGGCTGCATGCCTCAAGGGGCAAGCAGCACGGTGCTGTCGGGGACGGCGGCAAGGGGTTCGTCGTGGTGCGGCGCTGGATAAGCTCCGTCGTCGGCAATGGCGAGGCCAGGTTGACTGCTACGAGACCCGATCACGTGGGATCGTGCGGCGATGGCTCGGAGTTATCGATCGCCGTTCTGGCTCCAGCTTCCGCTTCTACTCCACGCAGAGTAGCAGATGGTGGCGAGAAAGTCCTCGTCGCCGTCGCGGGCCGTCCGGGCACCGAGACAGCTAGGGAGACTCTGTTGCGACTGAACGTCACCGTCAATGTCGGGACCATCGTGGAGTTCCGACAGGACCCTTTGCGCACCGCCGAGTGCGATGAACTGTGGGTCCGGGGGTCGATCGTCGTTTTGCGCGAACCTGCACCGTGAGACAAGCAGAGCGAGTGGGATACGGGAAAGGCGGCGTTGCTCGCGATCGCGGCGTGGGCACGATGAGTCTGTACTCGTATCAAACATTCATGTCGGCTTCAATCATCTGCCAAGACTGTCCACCGCCTTGTGAAGCCGGCCTAATGTCCTAGTTTTGCCCAGCACTCTCATCATGCCCACCACACTAACGCCAACCTGGGAAGTGTTAGATGCTTTTGTTCGTTCCCAGTCGACACAAAAACGGACCTTGGTTCCCGAGACTGCCCACCGCAAAACCGACATCACCTGGTTGTAGCTCACATTTGCCCGTTCCTGGACGCCCCGTAATGCTGTCTTGATGGTATCATCGGAGCCGAACTCAGCTGCATCCAAGAACCACAAGGACTGTCGAAGAACGGATACTGGAAAAGAATCAATCAACGCCCTCTCGGTGCTTGACAACTCTCCCACTTGCGACTGCTTCGCTCAACTGGGACTTGAAGTTGCGTGACTCATCCGACGCAAGATCAGGTTCTGCAAAGAATGGCCGACTGAGGGAAGCAAGCTGGGTGACGACCGTGACCTTGGGCTAGCAAAGACTCAGGAAGGCGCCAAAGCCTCGCAAAAGTGCGCCCCTTACCTTCACGACATCCAAGACCTCCGATAAGTAATCGGGTGAAAGATAAGGGGATGAGTCGTCCGACCTGGCCGATCCGCAACGTCAGCGCCCCTTCCCATGGCGAGTGATGTTCGCTCACAGCCACAAACTGGCGGATTGACGCAGAAGACCAAGAACCTTCTCCCTGCCATCTGAAGCTTCACACATTGCCGCAAAGTGGAGCTTGTTCAAGCTATCAAGTTTTTCGTAGGACACGACGGCGCCGGAGCTCCCAATGGCGGCGAGGTCGAACTGGATGGGGACTCTTAAGACAATGCGCAATTGCAGACAGGGTCCCTGGTAACCGCTGTACCTTTTCGACCATATCTGGTAGAGACATGAAGCTGTGTGCGTCGACCCCATGGGGGCCCCAACCCAACAGGGCAACAAAGTTCAAGAGGGCGGAAGGGAGGTAACCTTTCCTCTATCCGGCTGTCAGACCAGAAAATGTGCGTAGAACATGCGAGGATCTTACTCTGAAAGACTCCAAGTGGACGTCTCCATTCCGTTTCGAAAGCTTCGTCTTGTCAGTGTTATGAAGCAAGGGCAAGTGGGCAAACGCTGGCGGACGCCACCCAAAACTGTCGTAAAGGATAACATGCTTCGGCGTTGACGTGATCCATTCCTAACGCGCGACTAATGAGACCACAATCGGGGGCTACGCGAACTCAGCACCTCGCCACGCATGACGTGAGTTATCCTCATGAGATGATCATCGACCACATTAGCGAGATGATAAGTGGGCCAGCCGTCAGACTTCAG